TACCTGGGAGCCGGCAACCACAGCCACTCAGTCTTGGAAGGGTTGAGCCTGAGTCTGTTTCTCCCCATCCAGACCCGTACGGCCTCCAGACACCGGGCCATCACGTCAAGGGCATCATTGGGGTGGCCTGGGGTGGAAATGTACAGCTGAGTATCATCAGCGTACTGATGGAAATCCACCCCAAAGCCACGGATGATCTTTATACATACATGATGTGTTGTATACATGAAATACCTAGTTGCTCTTCCTAATCTCACACACACACACACACACACACACACACACACACACACACACACACACACACACATATATATATATATATATATATATATATATATTATTTTGCATAAGTCTGTAAATAGAAACAATAACCCCATCCTACAAAATCAATTTTGTAGTTCAATGTAATGTGCCCATAAAATATTTTACAATAACATTTGCTTTACCCAAATTTGCATCAGAGGATCTGATTCCCCCAACACTACTTTTCAAAGGGCACTGAATGGATCTGTTTTGCCAGATAGCCTGAATAGTTATTTATCAGCAGAGTTCTATAGTGTAATTATGTATCAAATCATTTTCACATGGTATACTTCCGGAAAAAAATATATCTAAAATCTATCAATGTAAGAAATAAATAATCAACAATCTGATGGGGAAGCAAATATTTTTATGGACAACCTTCTGTATTAACTTTCATGACTACAATCATTCCAGAAACATGAAAGTGGCAAATACACAGCTACACTTGAAAATAAAAATGCTAATTATTATTTTTCTATTATCTTGTCACTAACAGAAGTATACCGGAAAAAAAGTTCTCTGAAACCCAGTTTTAAAAGGCTAAACCATCAACAACTTAGGCATAACGCAACAAGGCATTTGTTTTTTAAAAACACACACTTTTTCCCAAGTCATTCTGTCAGCATCTGTCTTTTGCAAAGCCACCATCAGTGTCAGCTTCAGTCCCATCACAGCCAATTTCTGCCATGCAGAACTTCTATTCAGAGGCAACTCTATAGTCCATTAAGTGGAAAGCTCCCAGCAGGAGCTTCTTAGCTGTCACAGCAAGCTTTTTCACAGATGGAACCTCATCTGTTAAACTAAACCACAGTAGCCTTAAGCCAACATAGATCGTTTTTTTAGAAACTGTGAAAGTCTCTTTTAAACCTCATGAGAAATAAACAATAGAACTTAGAATATTTTGGTTATATACCGCATGCATATTTTGTATGATATCTATACTATTTATGAAAAGCGACATTTAGATCTATCACATATACTGAGATATACTATTGGGCATTTAGTTGCTACAAAGATATACTATTGGGCATTTAGTTGCTACAAAGCCTTTAGCAAAATAATTTTAAAAAAATGTACTATTTTTCCCCCCACCCAAACCATTGTTTGGGAACTTAACAGTAAAAAGGGCCAGTGCCTATTAGTTACTGAACAGATTTTAGATTATTTCCTGACTGTATGCACAGTGGTGCTTATAGGTTTGTCAACCTTTTGGAATTTTCTATATGTCTGCATAAATATGACCTAGAACATGATCTATTGTCTACATAAATCATAAAACTAGATATAGAAAACCCAATTAAACAAATGAGTCAAACATTATGCTTGTTCATATCTTTATTGAGGAAAATGGCCTAAAGCTATGTACTTATAAGCACCACTGTGAATAAGCATAGTGAATAGGACAGGGATTATCCCACAAGAGATTCCCTTAAATGATTGCCTGAATAAACACTCAAGATTGTCATAAATTCTTTCCCTGTCTTCCAAGGCAAACAATTCAACTTAACTGTACCTGAACTAGCTCAGACTTCTCAGCCAAAGCCTTCCTTTGTGCTTCCAATGAAGCAATTTGCTGCTGGTACTGCAAACGCTGCTTTTCCCAATCTAAAGACTTTTCATGGAACTCCTAGAAAAGATAATTACTATTTACTTACAATCTGGATGCTTAACAGTATTCTGGATTTCCTTCCAAGATTAAATTAAATTCTGATATTAAGTTATTGGATATTATTCACTAAATAAACTTGCAGTTGTCTTTAAGGAATTAACATTCTGCTTTGTAAGTATGGCATAGCAAAAATCTGATTATATAGTTCAGAAATATTGCTGAAGAATTAATGACAGCAAGATTAAGAGGAAAAAATAGTAAGTTATTGAATGTGAAGATCATCTTCTTTCACTGTGTGAACAACTTTTGTAGAGATATACATGGATAGGAAAAAAAACAAATATCTAGGTACATGTAACAATTAGCACTAGCCATCAGTAAGGAGTTAGATATTTCAACCAATCACCCTTACATCTCCAGCTCTTTCATTCTGCTGCTTCATATTCACGCATGTTAATCAAAGGACACTATAATTAGCTAAGGAACTTTCCAGACAATAGGAAGTTTATCTAATAATTATTTTTCCCTCATCAGATGTATGGTGTATGTATTTGGAACTACAAAATTATATTATTAGAATGGGAAAAAGTAAAACATACATAGAATGAAATCTTGATTTAGTGATTTAGTGAACCTCACTGAAATGGATGAATGAATAAATTCTATTACATTTACATCACTTGCATAATTAAGCTATTACACAAATGATGCAAATTGCATCACCATCTACCACTTGCACAACTTTCTGCAAATTACATAAATGACAAGATTTGCAGCATTTTACATTATTTGTATAATGCCACTACAAATGATATGCTTTTCAATATAACAGACCTTTCTCCAACTGATCTGTTCAATTGAGATCTCACTCTGTTTAACAATATATATACTGAAACATTAATCAACTGTTGCCAGGAACAATTTCTTGAACAAAAATGAATGTCTTGCCTAGAATGATGTTCTTGTTTCAGACAATATCTGTTTTTACAACTGATGCACCATTTAAACAGTCGCAGAAGGATGTATCTAAATTTGTGTGGCAGAGGGGAAAAAAAACACATTAAATATAACATGTTACAAGATGCAAAGAAAAGAGGAGGATTGGGTCTACCTGATTAGAAATTGTATTTTGCAGTTTGCTGATCAGTTTGGATGAAAGGGTGGATACTGCTGAGGAATAGAAGGCTCTTGAGGTTAGAAAGATATAACCTGATATTTGAGTGGCATGAATATTTGTGATGCGACAAAGTCAAGCTTAATATGAGTTTTAAAATTGATTATGTTAGACATGACATACTTAGAATATGGAATAGGTACTTTTGTGGCTCTCTTTACAAACAAGAAATAATAGGCAAACATAAATGGCTAACTTATTGTGAGATATTGGAATTTTGTGAAGGAAGTCCACTTTATCCTGAACCTCCTAAAGCTGCTGTGTAACCACCTTCTTCATAACCTACCCTAAAAATGACTGTTCAATACTTGAGAAAATAAAATCAAGAGAATAATTGGTAGCAGAGGAGTATAGTTATTCATGTTTCTCTTATTTACAGTACTGAGTGACTGAGTAGAGCTTCACAGTCCAGGAAGGAGGCACAACTGACACATAGCACAAAACTGTGCAAAGGTCTTTCTCAAACAGGAGTCACAAGACTAGAAGGACCCACAGATTGCGTACAGGGTCTGTCTGGGCAGTGGCACTCGATCCAGGTACCAAAGATGGTAAAGTCCAAGAATCAGAAGGTCTCAAAATCTAGAGATTCTTATTCCCTATCCAAATTTCTACAGTGTCCAAGCATCAGGATGAGATTAATTTGCCAAGGGTGAAGATACAGAACTGAGTACAGTATCATTAGCATATTGATGATACATTACCCTTAGATAGATGCTCACTCAGCAGCTTCATGTAGAAGTTAAACAGGAGTGAGAGTTACCAAACCCCACAGAATTCCACAAAATAATGGTTGAGGGTAGGACCTCTCACACTCTGTTAACACTGACTGGTACCAGCCCTACAGAAAGTGAACCAGCACAATACTGCCCCACCCACTCCCAGCCCATGGAGCCGATACAGAAAGATACTATAGTCAATTGTATCAAAGGCCACCAAGAGGTCAAAAATAAGGACAGATGCATTATCCCTGTTGCGCTCCTGCCACAGATGATATAAAACCTTGGCCAATACCATCCCTGACTCATGTCCAGGCTTGAATCTAAATTGAAAAAGAATCAGATAATCTGCTTTATCCAAGGCCCACTGAAGCTGCTACATAATCAGTTTGTCCACAACCTAAAAAGAGAGAGGGTTAATACTGGATGAAAATTGTCCAGTATGGTGGGACCCAGCAAGGGCTTCTTGAGGAGAGGGCAAACCAACACTTACATGAGCAACCCCTTATCTCAAAGAATAATTAACCAACATTAGGTTCCAACCACACAACCTTCCCAGGAAGTCTTAGCTAGCTAAGGAGGGTATGGATCTAAGGAGCAGGTGGCTGACCTCACAAGCATGAGGACCTTGTCTATTTCCTCAGGCACAATAGGATCAAATTGTTCCTAGACAACTAGGCAGGACTGAACTTAGTCATCTCCCTAGGACCTATACCAAAGTTGGAATCCACCTTGGAGCTTATCTTTATTTAGGAAGCCCAAGAACACAGAACATGTTGATGGTGGATTATGGTTAAATATACTTGTTTTACTGAGCAATTATGTGACAACTAAGAAACCCATTAATTTCAATTGGACTTATACTGAGATGAAGGTCTCCTACTTCCAAATTTAAAATAAAAATATTGAGATTTTTCCAAACCTATTCACATTTATTTGAATTTATAAATTCTGACCAAGACAACTTTTCCACTTACCTCTAATTTCTTTGACAAAATATTTATTTCAGACTGATCTTCGTCTTGACTCTTGGAAGACTGCCTAGTTCCTTTTAACTGTTTCTTCATCAATTTTTCGTAACTTCTCTTCAACCTAGCTAACTGGAAAAAAATAAAAATAATTTTGACGGCATAAATACTAAAACATAGATTTTTAAAACACCTAGTCTGTTTTCAATGACCAGAAAATTTATATTTATAAATTAAATTAAGGAGAACTATGAATATTTCTGAAATGTTGCAAAAACTAAATGGACTGATAGTCAAGAGTTCTTATTATGGCACAGTTTCAGTGAAACATTCTTATTATAACAAGTACAAATTAACCATCTTTCATTGAAAATACAGTAAAGAAAGTAAATATCTGAAAATTCCAACCTCAACTCCAATCAAATCAAGCATGAACAAAAGATCAGGAAAAGAGAACAGAAATAGAACAAAGACATGAAAGATATTAAAAAGTTTTTAAAAAATAAATAAGGAAGCAATATTGCCAATAAACTATGAATAATTTTATATTTCACTTCAAATAGTATGTATACTTCTTTAGGATGGGGATTTTATTTAAATCAAATTAGCCTGCTATAAAACAGTTACCGTATTTTCCGGCGTATAAGACGACCCCCAACTTTTGAGAAGATTTTCAGGGTTTAGAAAGTCGTCTTATACGCCGGAAAATACGGTATACTATTTGATGGAAAAGAAGGAAGTGGATGTTGCAAAAGGATTTCATTTTTATCATAGACATCAATAACCATGAATCCAACGGCAACTTGGGATACTTCAAATAGAGGCATAACTACTCTTATAAGTGAAAAATAAGATATGAGGATTACCCCATTATGGAGTTATGGATATTAATTACTATAAGGAATTACTGGGGCTTTTAAACCTTATTTAATAGTCAATTATGCTGTGATCCCAGCTGCCAAACGTTTTAAAGATCTATCATTGAACTTCAATCTAGCTTGGTGGAATCCTTCCTACTTCCCTGAAGGATCTCCTAAACAAGAATCATTATTATGAAATATTGTCTTCAGCTTGCAAAAGGAATAACACAAAATTTAATTTCATTAATAGCCCAGAACAGGCCTGTGCACCTTGCATATCCCACCATCTTTTAAAAAAAAAAAGCCAATAAATTTTCCAGCACTGCTCAAAGTGTGCAATATTTAGAATCCCTAATGCCTCCAGGTCTACCAGATTCAGCGCTGCCACTCTTCTGCTAGCCCCAAACAGCTAATAAATGCACCAGATTCTCCTTTGGGATCACTATGATTTCTAATTTATCCATGTGGCCCTTTCCCCTCTACCAAGTCGTGTAGGCCTGGCCTAGAATAAAAAAAAACAAAACTTTAACTCTCCAGGGGAACAATTTAATGCACTACTAGTCACTTCAGCATTTAACTGCAAATAAAGAAAAAGTAAAACTAAAAGCACAAGCTGAACATGAAATGACACAGCATCTGAAATTTTACACTGAAATAGTTGAAATAATGGCAAACCTTTTAGTCTCTTATTTTGGAAAAAAAATTCAAAATACAGAAATGCACACACAAACTTTAAAGAAAAAAAATCATCACTGTCTTCTGTTATATTAAAAGTGTACTCACTCTTATTCAAAATGTATGTCTTTATTCATCTGAAAACAATCCATATTCTTTGATTTCAATACCTATATGTACAGATATACAAGCTGCCTTTCATCTGACAGATATGATTATGAAGAACCCCACTTTACATTTTGGTCAAGGCAGTTCTGCTATCTTTCAGAGATCTCACCTCATTTTGGACTTTTGTTAACTGACGTTCATATTCTATAGTCATCTCACGATTCAGTTGCTCCATCTCATCTAATCTCTGGCACAATCTCTCAGTCTGGAAGATAATATAGAGCTTAATACAGAAAATTCTGTCTGAGAAACTTTACTTGGACAATGGGTTGGAAAAACAACAAACCTATGGAGCCACAGAACTGAATATATAAATATTTGTCCACATAAATGACAATCCAGCAAAGAGTCAGAACTCTAAATTAGTAAAGCAGACCCTTTTACTCCCCCCTTTTTCCTCCCTATAAAACTTTTTTACCATGGTAATGAAATTAATAAACAAGGTTATTTCCTAAATAGAAAGCAAAACTAAACAAAACTTCAGAATCATTTGCTGATATAACCTGAGTAAAATTAATTTTCCATATTTAAATAAGAGATGAACAAAACTAGTGGGACATTATCATACAGAAGTCTTCCTGGAACCTACAAATTATAGCAACTATTGCCCACTGCAAACATACTCTTAGATTCAAGATGTACAAGGAAGGGGTTGCTATGGAGTTTCAGGTATTCATGATTACAATCTGGACCCACTTTACTTTTTGTTGAAGTAGCTCAATGTCAAAACACTCTTAAATTTATTCACTTTGCCACTGCCTAATTCAGGTGCTCTGACAGTTTAAATATATTGGAGAAAGGCGTAAGAGAATAAAACTGTCAATTTAAAAACTAGTTTTCAAAATCTAGTGGTGCTTCACATTACCCTCTTAAGGGAAAAACAGTAACAGTCATGGAGATCATATTTTATGAGTCGATGCATCCCTAATGTAGTATTCTCTTTAAGAAAGTATGCATGACACTGAACTTTTCTATACTATTCTTTTATAGCATGTACAATACACCACCCACGGTCACTTTTTGTGAAATGGATGGCCATACAAATTTGATAATAAATAAGTATCATCACCACATCCAACCAAACCACCAAAGGCAAGATGTTTATTGCTGCAAGTCTCACTATAAATCCCTCATATGGAAACGTTCGCAGAGCCCAGGGCCATTTTTGCAATCTGATAAGAGATTACGTTTGAGGCAGAAACTACTGACGTTATGTTCTTAATCTTACAATATTTTATCAATGACCAGTTAAATGGTTTTGACTATAAAATGTGAATCAAATCATGATGTAATAAATAACACATAAAACCTTTCAATATAGAGGGAACAAATTGGAAAAACAGATGTAAAAAAAGTAATGGTGAATCTACCACTTTAACTTTATCAAATGAATACTATTCACATAATATTTGCAGAATTCTCAAACTATGACTAGTGAATGCACTTCATATGATAGCATTTTACTTATGGACCAATTCCTTTAAATGACCTCCAGAAATGTTCAAAGGGTATGTTTCTATGGGGTCAATATCTATTGCGGAATTTTTCAGAAAACAGGTAATGTCTATTTAAAGAAAATGAAAATTACATAAAGTTCAAAGAGATACCTCTTTATGTTTCTCCTCTGCTGCATTTTTGAGGGAGGACAGCTCCTGGTCTCGGAATTCTAAACAAGACTCCAAAGTCTGAGTTTGAGTTTCCCATTCAGCTTTCTTGTGAGCCACCATGATATCTATTTGCTTCATCAATTCTTGCAACTCTGCCTCACATGAAGTCTGGAAACTTCTGCTATCGAGAAAATAGCTTTACTGATTGCACAATTACCAGAAAACTGATATAAGGTAAGCAAAGCTTTCTTCATCTTTTTCTCTGAGATCAGCCCCTAGCCATAGGTAATATTCTATAGCAGGGCTATGCAGCAGATTGAGATTCAGAAAGATGCTTCAGAGTATAAAAAAAGTGCAAAACATAATATCCATCCATAACTTATAAAAGCAGCTGTACTTTTTCCTGGTATTGTGCAGCTGCATAAAATAAGTATAGATGGTTCTTGTTTAACCATTCAAAGTGATCACAAAGCTGAACAAATGGTACTTAAACCAGTCCTTGTAATTGTGGCTGTAACAGCGTCCATGGTCACGTGATCAGCATTTGCAACCTTCAGTGTTGGCTTCCGACAAGCAAATACAATGGGGAAAACCAGCAAGAGATTGCAAATGGTGATGTGACATCACACTTAGAGATAATATGAGATTTGCTTAATTAGAAGTGTCAGCACTGCGGTCACTAAGCAATGCAGTCATATGACACTGAACTTCAAATCTACTGAAAACAAATGGAAAAGATAATTTGATAAGAAAACACAATTACAGCTAGTGGAAATGAATGTCTCAAGCTTTTCAAAACCTTGACTGGAGATTTCACGTTGGTTCTTTCAAAGCAAAGGCATAGCAAACACATAAGGAAAAGCATGATTCTTTTAATAAATATAAAACAATTTACAGTGTAATTCTACTCAAAGAGTAGATCTAAAATGAATGAACTACCTGAACAAATTCAAAATGCAACTAGTCTTATACAAGCAAGCTGAAAACAAGGAGGAATAGCATTTTTCTCCTTTCCTGCTTGTTTCTGATTATAGACTTAAAAAAAAAAATTCTCATTGCATTCAGTAGAACGGAATTTATATAAAACATTCACTGCTGGAATATCTTAAGCATGCCAGAAATGTTAACTTGCAACAGTACTATCCTAAAACCTGTGAATTCTAATTGTGTCCCAGTCAGCCCATGACACAATAGTCGTTTTTACTTCTACGAATATTAGAGCTTTGACATCAAAATGTAAGAGACTCAGATTTCTATACAGGCTGAATAAGAACATTTAATGTCCAAATGTAAGAACTAATATCCCAATGAACTAAGATTCCAACTTTGTGTTTTCAGGTTTTCTACAATAACGGCCCCAACCTTTTGAACGGCAGGGACCAGTTCCGTGGAAAGTGGTTTTTCTGTGGACTGGAGGGGGCATGGTTTTGCCTGTTGCCTGCAATCCGCACGCGCATGGATGGGGTTTCACTCGTTTGCATGGCCCGGTTTCTGGCGCAATGCAGACCAGTGCCAGTCCAGGGCCCATGGGCCCCTGCTGTACAAGAAAGCTGTTTTTTTACTCCTACAGTGAAACAAATGTACACAACTACTACATTAATTAGTCTAAATGAGATCTGGGGAATTTATGGCCCTTTAGCTGACCCTGTCCGGCCTGTATGAAGTCAATTGGAAATTAAAAATCAAATGTAAATAAGTCGCTGCAAGGGACAGGAGAAGCAAGTTGGATCCAGCTCTGCACAATTTCCGTGTGCTTCTTTAGTTGGCTGGCAGCCACGTGAGGGCATGGAAAGCACTTTTTCTGTGCCTGCAGAGCACTTGCCCCTTTGAGGACATCAAATCAGGTTACATTACTCCACAACAGTCCCAGTTTCTCATATGGTCCCTTGGGAAAATTCATTACGCATCCCTGTTCTAAATTGTAGTGGTGATCCATGGTACTGTAACAGCTGCACTCACCCTCCCTATACCACTCCACAATTTTGATGCCCATAGAATGTTATTTTTTCATTATTATCAGAAGTATAAATATAATGATAAAAATTTCTGAAGCTGAACATAACTGGCATAACCTACTAACTATTCTTAATTCTATGTAGCTAATTCTGAAGAATTACTTTACACTGAGTGCACTAAAGTGCACATTAAAATGGCTTACATATCTCTCTGTAATTAGCCTGAATTAGTTGGTACAGCAACTTTAAAAGGTAAGCATAGTACTACTGTTTTAAATACCATTTGCAGTTGCATTTAAACAAGGAATTAAGAGAGAAGCAAAAACACAGCTGTTTCTGAATTACAACACTTTCTTAAGAGTTTATTTAAAATAACATTTAGCAATACCACTGCTAAATTGATTTATTTTAGTAAAAAGGGATATAAATTATAAATGAATGCACATTTCTTTTTCTCAAGATTCAGAATTTTTGTATTAGAATGGAAAAAAACACCACAAGTTGGTGCATTTAATAAATAAGTTTACTGACTATTTGGTAAAAGAAGTAGCTAATATATTATTGCTTTAATATCTAATGTTATTTTAATAACATTATTAATAGCAAATACATACCTGCTATGTCCTTGGGTTTGCATTTTTTCCAACAACGCCTCCATCCTGAAATCACTTCTCTTAAAGCTGCTGGGGAAAAAATGAAAATTGTGCTACAGTAAGGTATCACCATTTCTACCCCTCCTATCACACTGAGAGAACACGTAATAAAAAGACCTACAGTTAGAAAAGGGAAAAATCACTGAAAAATTACACAGTTTATAGTAGGAAATTATTAAAACCTTCAATAGCTTTGCAGGCTAAATGCTGGGCAGACTATAACCTATAGACCAGTGGTGGGATAAAGCCCGTTCGTACCACTTCGGCAGAACCGGTAGGTAATTTTTTGTTGTCCAGGCCCAGAATGGATTTCCGGAAGCAGCATCCACACAGAGAACCAGTTGTTCACATATTTGAATCCTACCACTGCTATAGACCATAAACTAAAAATAATACAAAAATAAACTAGCAAACAACATTTTGCTAAAACTTTAACTAAGCAAGCTTTATTTCATACATTGCCATAGTAATATAAAATTAAAAGTTCTAAAGTAGCTTTAAAGCTATTCATAAAAATGTGTTTGTTGCAATTATTTTGTGCTTTGTGTCTCTCACTTTTTCAAAATAAGAAAGGAAAGGCATCACCCACCCCAAAACATGCACTGTAATTTATCTTCAGATGGAAGAACTACAAGTGACCCAGGAGATGCCTGAAGACCATATAAAGAAAAAAATACACTTCACACTTTTAAGAAATGTTGATCTATAGATGCCATATAAATAATTTTCACATACACAACAGTTTTATAGTATTTTTACCAGAAAAACTCCCAATTGATACTAAGATTAGAAATCTGAGATAGTAGGGGAAGACTCCTGCGAGTCCCCTGGACTGCAAGGCGATCAAACCGGTCAGTCCTAGAGGAGATCAACCCTGACTGCTCTTTAGAAGGCCAGATCCTGAAGTTGAAACTCAAGTACTTTGGCCACCTAATGAGAAGGAAGGACTCACTGGAGAAGACCCTAATGCTGGGAAAGATAGAAGAAGGGGATGACAGAGAATGAGGTGGCTGGATGGAGTTACTGAAGCAGTAGGCGTGAGCTTAAATGGACTCCAGAAGATGGTAGAGGACAGGAAAGCCTGAAGGAACGTTGTCCATGGGGTCGCGATGTGTCGGACACGACTTCGCAATAACAACAAAGGGGCAAGCAAACTGGCGGTACAAGACTGTACTGGTTCACAAATTGACCTAGCAAATTTTAGCATCTGATATAGCCCAGTGAAAAATTGCACCATATGAGAAAATACAGAAAACATGTATACCTTATTATTTGTGCGGAGCCATTTATTTTAGGATTTTACAGATATTAAAGTCATTTTCACTATGATTGTAGATATTATTGTATATATTTATTGTACTGCTTTTATATAATTTTAACTTGTAAATTTTGATTGTTATTGGACTGTACGTTGCTGAAAGGAATAATTTTGTTTTGTACTGAAAGTATGTAAAGAATCCACTGAAAGTCTTATCAGAATAGTAGAAAGATTTTGCATACCTGCTCTCTTCATCACAGAATGGCTATATTTAACCAGCTATATGTAAACCAGCCCTGATTGCTTAAGTTCTCCAAAATTGTTAAGACTGAATACTAAATACTTACTCTTTAATAAAGTATCTTAAATTCAGAATTTACCTGAAAGTTGCCATCTAGTATTTAATACTTAGTGCAAACAAAGACATCATTCCACTTTTTCATATTTTTTTCCTCTAAAGTCCTATTTCATTTCTGTTAAGGTAAAAAAAGAAATAAAATGTAACAATAAGTGGCATGCCTCTTAGATTTAATAAACAGTTTCAATTTTTGCTAATTTACTGTTCGTATTTTTTCCATTCTTTTATCAAACCTAAGAATCATCAGATAAAACTCACCATTGGCATTTCCTAAACAATATTTAACAGCAAACCTTTGACTGTATCTCCAGTGTGGCTAGAAAATATATTCAGTCAGTGATTATTGGTGCATATTTATTCATGTTATTCCGTCAGACTATTAATGTAGAACTAAAAAGGTCAATGAATAGAGAACATGAGGTGATGGGGTAAGTAGAATTTAAGTGCTAGGAAAGATTAATCTCCTAGCACATCATGGCAAAAAATATCCTCTAAAGACCCACAATAATTAATTGAATTGTAACTGGTTTAATTAACCTTCTAATAACTTCCTAAGTATGTAACTAAAATGAATGTGAAAAATATTTATTTATATATATATACTGCTCACAAAAATAAAGGGAACATTTTACCATGGAACTGAAGGGGTTTGCGTTCCCTTTATTTTTGTGAGCAGTATATATATATATCATGTCAAAATATAAAATGTCCCATCTTTTTCCAAGGACTTGTTACCCAACCAACAAGAGTGCATTTTTGTTAGAAATTATTAGAGAACCTTTCTTACAATAATATTACACTGATATTTAAATCAGTGAGCTGAGGCTTTCTCGGATATTTAAAAGAAATGCACCTTGATTTTTATTCAAAATGTCAAGTTTTTCAAACAGGACCTTCTCACGTATCTGTAGAATAGCGTCTCAAATTATTTTTAAAGTCTGCATTGGGACTTCCTACACTGCTCAGAAAGAATTCTTGTCTCATCTATTGTAAAGAAAAGGAATTGGGCAAAGACCAGTAAATGAGAGATGGGAATTGAGTGACTGCGTTTGCACAACACTCACACTGGGTCGCGGTTTATTCATTTAATCCAGTTTTCTGGATTCACATAACATGTTGAACGATAAAGTAACTCAACGCGCTGGGTTCACATCACTCAGCAAGCCAAAATGAGTAAGGGCGAACCGACAACAGAGGACTAAGAGAACTGAGAACGGAAAGCAGAGCGTCAGAAAAGGAGCCAAATCGGTAAACTCGGCGGCAAATAACTGATGCCAAGTACTCAGAGCACTTCAGAGCCCTAAGGTTCCTCGCCCAAAAGGAATCGACGAAGCGAACAGGCGAACAACCCGCTCCCGCACACCACCATTACATCCCCCGGAGTTCTTCCGTTACCTCCAAGCCGCTCCTAGGGGAAGAATTGAGACCGCCCCACCCACCTTCTCTACGATCCTCTCTATGATTTACGTCTACTAGAACTGCTGCCTGTGACGTCACGTCCTTTCGTTCCAATATCCGCGGAACAGCGGCGGATATCGCGTGCTGCAGGTGCGGGTCGGGGCGTTGGCGTGAGAGGCGGAAGGAGAAAGAGGGAGCGCAATAATGGAGGAAGGGTGGGGGGCGCACGAGAGGGCTGGTGCTGAAATAGCCGCCTTTTTGGAATGAAGTCGAGATGGATAAACGGCAGGTTTCATACAGGGACAGGGAAACTAAGAACGTAGGTGCTGCTAGTTTCGGGCTGTCAAGAGAGTCTTGCAGGTCCTCATGAGAAAATGAGTTGCGGTTGTGTTTATCGATAAGTGTCATCTGTAAGTTTTACAATCAAACTTGTAAGATAAGTTATTTCTTCATTAAGTGGTATTACAACCAGCCCGGCAATAAGACACTTGAATAATGATAAATCCAGATAATTAAGAGGAATGGGAGATTAAGAAATACGAAAATAAAATAAAGCAAGCAAATGGCTGGACCTATTAAAACTTTCAGAAAGATGCTGGCAAATTCGGAATTCCTAAACCTATCATAGATGGAAAAGTGCTGTGACAGGTTTACAATCGTTAAAGAACCGGAATGCTTCCTGATGGATATTATTTAATGTTGTTATCCATTAGGTATACCTGTATTTTTCCTCCATAGTAGTCTTTTTAAAAGAAAAATATTGCAAAGTATTGATAAAACATAATTGTCATGTTTTTAATATTTTTCTCTTAGTAAGCATAATTTTTCCACTAATCTCTTAAAAACTGCAATTAAGACAAAAAAATTGCAGAACAAAGTCACAAAAGTTTATGAAGCAGTGAATATGTGAAAGTTACTGACATTGAGGAAAAATAACCATTAAAAATGTCCCAAAAATCTATATCATTGCCGTTTATCTTGTTATATAATAGGTTACATTTAATAGGAATGTAATTTTGAAGGTTATATTAAAACATTTTGGGGAAAGAAAAAGCGCTTTGCAAAATGTTCCCCAAAGTTTCTTGCAAACTGTAACAGGCCAACAAAAAGTGGGAGGAACATGATATGTAATATACAATTTCTCTATACTGGATTTTTAAAATATGTAGATATAATAAAATATACTCAGTTTTGATTAGCAGTAGAGGGATCTTGGTGTAATATATAGCTCAGTAAAAGCAATGTTGTATGGTTCATGTTGCTCATTTATGCATCTAAAATGATGAATTTTGATTTTAGGGACAACTCTTACTTTATCAGGTGGAGGGGGCTTGGCAAGGATAATTTTTAAGGACACTGAAATAGATTATATTCCTGATGTTGAAACATTCATTCAAAATGTTTCCCCTAGCAATTTTAAAATGTCTCTATATTTTAAAATGAGAAGATGGAACAATATGTTTTTGTATGGTTAAAATTTCATGAGAAGTTGATTTAAATTAGGTGGTTTCTTTTTACTTTATTCCTTAGTTTCTCTTTCCCCTTATAGTTAGTTTATTTTACTTACCATAAGGCATGAAGTTTTTAAAATTGTAAACAAAGCATTATTTTTTGTTTGTTATATTTCACTAATTCACTTTTTAAAAAACAGTTTCCGTTCATTTCAATGGAATTTCTTTGGCAATTGGGTATATGAGTAGTATATATGCATAAATATTTCCTTTGTATCATAGCCCTCATTATAAACTGTGCAAAAAATGGACAGTGAGGTACAAAGAGATGGGAGAATTCTAGATTTGATTGATGACGCATGGAGAGAAGATAAGTTACCATATGAAGATGTGGCAATACCCTTGGTAAGTTCCTGGATAATTAATATATTTTTCCCATTTATTTTAGAACATTTTCTCAGTTTCAAAAAGCTTTCAATGAAGCATTTGCTAATAATTTTATTTAAACCCAGTCAAGAACTAACATTCCCAAAGCCTGATAAAGTTCCTCCCTAAGAGCAGAAAGGTGAGATATAAATAGTACAAATATTTATAATAAACTAAGCAGCAGTAATGCAGCAGTTGTTAATACAGATATATCAAAACATAGCCTTATAGATGCCACATACATTTCTTTTAATGCTGTCATCTACTTTATAGCTGTTTGAAATGTTTTAATATAAGAGTTGTGCAGTGATCTAGGTTTAAAAGGGAGAAGCTGATTCAAAGTGTAAATTGGGAAATGTATGACACTTATTGGCAACTCCTTAAAAGAATTATCATTCTCTGCTCTACTTCACTCCAGGAAAAGAGTACTTAATTTAAGGAGGTGCCAACGGGTGGGATGTACTGAAGCAGGAAAGAGGGCTTATCTCTCCTGTTTCCCAATAAAAACTGCTTGAGCAAATGATAATATGTGGTTGGTTTCTGTTCATTCGCCATCCTGCACTAGTCCTAAAAATGTTCTACTTGAAACAAATCAAAGTGGAAATTACAAATCAAAAAGCAAACAGCAATTCGAGATTGGATGGATGCACATTTATAAATAAAACAAATGTTTTATTTACATAAAATAAAATGCATTTAAAAAATAAAATAATTCAGTGTTGGTTTTATAAGGGTAGTATGAATCAACTATTAAATAAAATCACAGCAAGCAAGCAAAACAGTATGTTTTCATAAAATTATGTTAATTGCATTATCGAGCCATATCTTGTACTATCGTATATATGTACAATACCTTGCGTTGATATTTTTATAGCATGAGTATATTAACCATAACATCATTTTTAGCTTAAGTGGAGTATAATGCAAGAACCTATTTTGTTAACCCTTTAAGTTGTACAGTATTGACCTATACATCAGTAAGGGTCAGTGTTATGGAACTTTTAATTTTAACCTTTTTATGAATGTTTATTCAATATACAGATAGTCGTCGACTTACAGCAGTTGAGGCCGGAATGTAATCATGAAGTACAACTGCATCACTTAGCAATGGCAATCCCTACAATCCCTCTTGGCATAGTTAACTGAATTCCATGATCATTAGGCAAGGCAACTTCCTACCTACTTGTCTAAGGACAATGGGGAAGCAGGAGGAAGTTACAAGTCCCAGGCCTACAGGCAGATAAGTGGCTGCTGCCAAGTGAGGAGGTCAGTGTGGGAGAGGGCCAGATAGGGGCTGCACAAGTGGCCAAGGCAAGCACAGAGGGTCTGTTCTTCCCTGCCATCTTCTTGTATTTTCTGAGAAAGCCAGCATGGAAGATTGCAAATGGCAGTCATGTAATTGTAGGACACCTGACAACCAGTCATAAGTTGCTGAGTATGCAGATGACAATCGTATGACCCCAGGGATTCCTGGATGGCTGGAACTCCAAGGACCAATCATAACCACTGTTCATTCAGTGCCATTGTAATTTCAAATAATCACTGAACAAATGGTTGTAAGTCGAGAACTGCCTGTATGCTACATCTCAGTATCTATGGGGAGAGGGAATTAATCATCTAATAAAACACGGTGATATAACAGATATACCGAAGAATGAGTAGGACACTAATTGTAATAAGCAAAACTATAATTACAAACTTGATTTCCAAATGCCTAGCATTTAAGCCAGTAAGCCATTAACAATTGCATATATATATATATACACCCTTATGCATGATGCGCTTAAAGATATTTTAGATTTGTAATTAAAAACAAAATATTGCTTACTTTCCCATTTATGAATAGATTTTTCTCAAAAAAACAAACCACTGATTACTATTGAAAACAGAACTTTTTTTCCCACTAAGTTCTATCATTTTTTTAATTACTCAATGATAAATATTTTTTATTTTCAGAATGAACTTCCAGAACCAGAACAAGACAATGGTGGAGCAACGGAATCAGTGAAAGAACAAGAAATGAAATGGGCTGATCTGGCTTTGCAGTATCTTCATGAGAATATTCCTCCAATTGGAAATTAATCTGTACAAATTAGCATAATAACCACTTTATTCAGATGAATTTCTTGTCAGAATTGGTTTTCAGTCTTTTGCCCTGTTAGTCTTGTTTTGAGATAACTGATAATTAATTGTTTTAATTAAACAGTTGCTTAAAAGGCACTAAAAGTTTTTTTGTAGATCATGAGAGATTTTTCTACCTTTCTAAATACGAAAGATTTTCCTTGAAGTTTCCAGCAGAGGTCGCAGAAGTACAACAGTTTCCTTGAGTATGAATTGCTCTTTAATCAACTTGAAATATATTGCAAAAATTCTATGTTTGCAGTTTTTGATTTCAGTAAATTCTTATTTGTACTAAATATATTCTGTGGAAATGTAGGCAGTTCTGCTGATAAAAGCTTTTTCACTTCATCTTTTTAATGCTATCTAGAAGATGGATTGAAAGTACTCAAAATACACATTACCACACATAATAAAACTTTAATAGCTTCAACTACAGACAGAATTAATGGACTGAAGTAGTTAAGGGAGGGATATTTAACTTTTCTTCCATCTACTGATTTTCTAGAGCATTTCATTCTAAATATATCATCACACACTTCCTGAATTTACAGATATATTCAAAAGGTATATACTCAACTGTAATATTGTAAACAAGAACAATGGTGAAAAGTTAAAGTGAGTTCAATTAAGTAATTTGTTGCATGCTGCATTTCTTAAAAGACATTAGCTTAATAGACATGATATTAAAAAGTTTATTCTAGAAAATTGTACCTAACAATGACAACATTACCTCTATCTTGTAGGGAGTACTTAAGGTCCTTGGTGAGATTCTTCACAAGTGATATAAAAAATCCAGAAACAAAGCCATTTCTACACAAATTTAGTGTCACCATTAAGACTTTAATGCAGTAGTCCTTGACTTATTACCAGAACTGGGACCGGAACTTCCATGCTAAGCAATGAGGTTGTTAAATGAATCATTGAGCAAATCCAGTTCTCCCATTGACTTTGTCAGAAGCCTTTTGGGAAGATTGCAAATGGTTACCATGTGACCCTAGGATGCTGCAACTGTCATAAATGCATGCTGATTGCCAAGCGCTCAAATTTTGAGCATGGAATAGTGCAACAAGTTTAAGCACAAGTACTGGTCATGAGGCATCTTTTTTTTTAGCACCCTTGTAACTTTGAACATTCGTTAAACTTGACAGACTTGAACATTCAGTGGTGAAAAAAGTAAGGTTCTACATTTAGGCAAGAAAAACCAAATGCACAGGTATAGTATAGGTCAGGGCTTTTCAACCTTTTCACAGATTGTGCCACTTTTAGGACATGACAATATTTGAGTACCACCAGTGCTTAGCAAGGTGTCAAAAACTTGATGACTAAAAAGGGGAGATTCTGGGTTTCATTGATTAGATTTATTTGTTGTTATAGAAATGGCTAATTTATAATATGGAAAAGTAAAAAGTTGAGGTTCAATGTTAATGCTTCCTTCTACTGCAACAGAGGAAGTATGTTTTTTTTTCCTTCTACCCCTCGCTTTCCCCCCTTTTTCCTCCCCACTATGTCCTACTATTTGCTTTTGTATTTTTGTATTTTATTCTATAATCTAATAAAATATTATAAACTGTAGAAAAAAAAAGTACCAGTTTTAATTTCTTCGGTGGCTGTTCCTTTGCTGAAACACTTTCCCTTTGCACTGACAAATGTATGATGAATTTATCCATGTTTATTAATATGCACCACTACCAGCTAGTTCAGGAGTCTTCAAACTTGGCACCTTTAAGACTTGTGGACTTCAACTCCCAGAATTCCTCAGCCCTCATGGCTACTTGAGGAATTCTGGGAGTTGAAGTCCACAGGTCTTACTCCTGAGCTAGCTGGTTGGCCCTTCTGAGCTCTTCCAGTGTAATAAGAATGCACCCCTCCCCAATCCCTTCCCTGTACCCTTAAAGACACAGGAATCAAGTGCAAAGCAAGAAAATAAAGAAACACAAAGGGGGGGGGGTCTCTTTAAGCTGCCTCAGGTTTGTCATGTGTCACAATGTTGCAATTCTAGACTGAAAGGCTCCGGCAATTGCGAAAAGCTTTAGCCTTAAATTAAGCCAGTTTACCTTCAAAGAAAACTTTCTAAAAGCCACAGACAGACTCAGTTAAAGGGGGTAAAACTAATTACATTTGTTTAAAGGGATTAGACCTTTCCTGTTGTCTTTTTCTCCTTCCCCCACCCAAACCACGTTCTTTTATAGCCTCTCCTCTCTCCCCCCCTTTTTCTTCAGGTCACCTCCAGCTCCCAGTTGCTTCTGGAAGCGCCAATCAGCTGGAGCCCTGCCGGCTCCTGAGGCTTCTGCTGAGCCAAGACAGTCCTGCAGCTGCCTCTCCCTCAGGCTTGGCTGGCTTAGGCTCATTCCCCTCCCCTGCTACACTTGGCTAGCAATCGTGTACCACCTGCCATGTGGCAAAATACCACAAGTGGTACGCGTACCAATGGTTGAAAAGCCCTGGTATAGGTGGTACTTTGCTCAATAGTAGTAACTGTGAGAGGGACCTCGGAGTCCTAGTGGACAATCACCTAAATATGAGCCAGCAGTGTGCTGCAGCTGCCAAAAAAGCCAACATAGTGCTAGGCTGCATTAACAGAGGGATAGAATCAAGATCATGTGAAGTGTTAATACCACTTTACAATGCCTTGGTAAGGCCACACTTGGAATACTGCATCCAGTTTTGGTCACCACGATGTAAAAAAGATGTTGAGATTCTAGAAAGTACAGAGAACAGCAACAAAGATGATCAGGGGACTGGTGGCTAAAGCATATAAGGAACGGTTGCTGGAATTGGGTATGTCTAGTTTAATGAAGAGAAGGACGAGGGGTTACATAGCCGTGTTCCAATATCTCAGGGACTGCCACAGGGAAAAGGGAATCAAGCTTTATTCTCCAAAGCACCTGAAGGCAAGACAAGAAGCAACGGATGGAAACTGATCAAAGAGAAAAGCAACCTAGAACTAAGGAGAAATTTTCTGACAGAACAATTAATCAGTGGAACAACCTGCCTCCAGAAGTGGTGAATGCTCCAACACTGGAAGCTTTTAAGAAGAGACTGGACAGCCATTTGCCTGAAATGGTATAGGGTTTTCTGCCTGAGCAGGGGGTTGCACTAGATGACCTCCAAGGTCCCTTCCAACTTTTTTATTATTGTTTATTATTGTTTATTATTAATGAATGGTAGCTGAGGATTACCTGTAGTTTTCTTCTGAATATCAACCTCTTAATATACTGTTGGTGCTATTGTTACTAACTCTGAGGAAATAATTTGTGTTATTCCATTAGAGAATAGATGTTAAGGAAAATCTGTTAAACCCATATGCCTTCCTCATGTCTTTTGGAACTCATAGAATTTGTGGCTCTAAGTTTAAATACGTATCATACTTTGCTCTTTATATATAACTGGAAATTTTGAGCTTGGTTTGACTATAAGTGCAATTCTAGAACAGAAGCTGATTCCAAAGGATCCACAAGAGGAATCATTATGGATTTGGTTCCATATTCAGGCCTGAATATTTTCTGTGTGCAAGGTTGCTGAGAATATGGTGGTCCTACATTTCTGCAGACCCCTAAAGGAAGTATTTGAGATCTAGCTGATAACCAGATTTGATAGGAGAAGTAATGCTATTCTTAAAACAAGTGGTACTACCCTCTCCCACCTTGGAAGCATTTATCACTCTGATTCATAATACTACAATCCTGCAAAAAGCTAATATTAAAATAACCAGTTGTACATCTCCATCCCAGGTCCAAAGAGGATAGAGTATTCAGAAGCTTGCTGCTTGTAGGACTTTACCAATTTTGATTGTTTATGGGTATGCCTACCTGTCAGCGCCTTGAAGTAAATAAGATTGAAAAAACAGCCTGCACGAACTTTGAAAAAACAAGATTCACCCATTTATAATAACAGAATATTGAGAGCCTAAAATGACACCTTCTCTTCTATACTAACAAAAATCAAGGTGAGTCAATCATGGGGGCTTTTTTTATACCATCTCTTATCTATCTGGAGCTAAACTGATGTCTATGGAATGACCACAGAATTCCTTCTTTACATCTATCTATGTACTCTTCTACAGCACCCAAATCCGGAGGTCATCTTGGACTCAACGTTTCTGCTAGAGCAGCAGGTGGAAGCTGTTGCTGAGCTTTGGGTAGTACAGCAGTTTCCTGGAAAAAGATGTTATCCTTGTTATGTCTTGTTTAGATTACTATAATTCGCTCTACAACAGGCTACCTTTGAGGGTCACTCAGAAACCATGTGGCCCAAAATTCAGTGGTCTGTGTGCTCACTGGTCAATTTCAATGGATACCATTTCTGAAGGAGCTGTATTGGCTACCAGGATATTTGCAAGCATAATTCAAGAAGGTGGTTATTCCTATAAAACCCTTAATGGCTTAAGACCTGGGCATTTAAGAGACTTACCTTTTCCTAATCAAATTTTCTCACGTAATTAAGACAGAGTGCTTTCTCAGAATGCCTATCTACCAGGAGGTGGGATTGATTCAAAGGCAGGTGTTCTTTGTAAGTATTCCTCTTCTTCTTAAGAGTAAACTCTTAGGAGTTTACCCTCCTAAGCAAGAATATCTCTCCATCACTCTTCAATGGCCTTTTGAAAATATGTAACAATTTTCTGGAGAGATTTTCAGGATTGATTCTGGTGCTATCAATGTAAGTTTTAGTTTTTCATTATCATTATATAGTGTTTATTTTATAATTACTATGTTATGGGACTAGATAATAATAATAATAGTAAAGTTGGAAGGGACCTTGAAGGTCATCTAGTCCAACCCCCTGCTCAGGCAGGAAAGATAGACAGACATACAGATAGATAAACAGATTCTTGATGTTTCATATTTAAATTAATATAAAACCTATGCAACTATTTTTTGGAAACATTCGACAACTGAAGTACATATTGAAAAAAACTTAAAAATTTTGAAATCTAGTTAAGTATAGATCTTTTCAATGCAGCTTAATATATATGGTACAGTAGAAGTTTTTTCATTTTATTGGATTCTAGATCTCACATTTTTTATTATTATTTTACCTTATTTTAATTTTACAGAACTATAATATTTAATTCCAAGAATATTTCAGGGATATATCTACATCTGTATTCCAGGGATGCCATTAGAAATGATGTGGAAGTCCATTCCGCTGAGTTGTTTTAGAATTGTCCATGTGCACCAAAACGTCAGAGCAACTTGGAAGGCAAAAGGGAACAGCCTATCTTATCTTTTGATAAATAACTGTTTTATGATTAGCCTTGCCTACTATGGAGTCATTTTGCAAGAATCTACATAATAAGCTACCAAATTCCAAACATGCCCAGCAGTCCAGAAAGTTTGGTCCATTCTTTAATAATGCTATCTAGTAACGTCAGTATTGCTAACAGATTATATTTTAGAATCACAAGTTAGTGGTGTGAATATAAAACTAACATTTTGGTTTCATAAAATGGTCAGATATACTTCTAAGGTTTAAAGTCAGCTCAGAAGATCCTGGTGATTTGTAACACGTCTATGCAATTCCATATTAGACAAAAATATTTTGTGTTATTTCCTAATCCATCTCTCAAAATGTGAGTAGACACTTAAAATTGGATGGGGACTAAAACATAATTCTAAAAAAATATTTCCATACCACTTGAATTACGCTTTAATTGTCTACTGAAAACGACCTCTAAATTTCTTCAAGAAGTATAGTTGATTAGTAGA